AAGTTTGGAAAATAAAAGCAGTTTGTTTCTAATGACTAGAGTTCGTTCTCACTGGGTGCTGAGAGTTTATATAATACAGGCAGAAACCTGGATCAGAACCAGACTCATGTTGAAAAGACAGAAACCTGGAGCAGAACCAGGCTCATGATGAACAGACAGAAACCTTGGGCAGAACCAGACTCAGGTTGAACAGACAGAAACCTGGAGCAGAACCAGGCTCATGATGAACAGACAGAAACCTGGGGCAGAACCAGACTCAGGTTGAACAGACAGAAACCTGAAGCAGAACCAGGCTCATGATGAACAGACAGAAACCTGGGGCAGAACCAGACTCAGGTTGAACAGACAGAAACCTGGGGCAGAACCAGGCTCATGATGAACAGACAGAAACCTGGGGCAGAACCAGACTCAGGTTGAACAGACAGAAACCTGGGGCAGAACCAGACTCATGATGAACAGACAGAAACCTGGAGCAGAACCAGACTCAGGTTGAACAGACAGAAACCTGGGGCAGAACCAGACTCATGATGAACAGACAGAAACCTGGGGCAGAACCAGACTCAGGTTGAACAGACAGAAACCTGGGGCAGAACCAGACTCATGATGAACAGACAGAAACCTGGGGCAGAACCAGACTCAGGTTGAACAGACAGAAACCTGGAGCAGAACCAGACTCATGATGAACAGACAGAAACCTGGAGCAGAACCAGACTCATGATGAACAGACAGAAACCTGGGGCAGAACCAGACTCAGGTTGAACAGACAGAAACCTGGAGCAGAACCCGACTCACGATGAACAGACAGAAACCTGGGGAAGAACCAGACTCATGTTCGTATAAACCTAAAGGCCTATAGCAGCATAACAAGCAGCATAACAGCCCTAACTATATGCTTTATCAAAAAGGAAAGTTTTAAGCGTATTCTTAAAAATACAGTGTGTCTCCCTCCCAGACTCTGACTGGTAGATGATTCCAGAGGAGAGTGGCTTGTTAAGTGAAGGCTCTACCTCCCATAGTACATTTAGAGACTGTAGGTTCCATGAGCAGGCCTGATAACTGAAGGCTCTACCTCCCACAGTACATTTAGAGACCGTAGGTACCACGAGCAGGCCCGATAACTGAAGGCTCTACCTCCCACATTACATTTAGAGACCGTAGGTACCACGAGCAGGCCTGATAACTGAAGGCTCTACCTCTCATAGTGTATTTAGAGACTGTAGGTAACATGAGCAGGCCTGGTCTACACTGATCGTGCAGCCAAAGCAGTTTTACTAATTTGTTGACGTCCCTCTCAGCCTTCATGACTGTGAAACAGGGTTGGAAATTAGCACCTGTCACCCGCCAAATACGGGTGATTTCTTGCAGTGACGGGTGAATTTGCTCAACCTCACGTTGGTGGGTAAATAAAAATTACATAACAGAGTGCTTTGTGACAACAAATGGCATTAAATTAGAGAAGACACAGTCGTTCATATGGCCCACAGGGCTCCGCCTCCTCCTCGGGTCAGTGTTTACAATGATAGGCTATCTGCTGAAATGGCTTGACTCTATGTCTCTTTAGCCAAGTGCATTCCGGATTAGCATCTAAATTTCAGAAGGTCTACCTGCTAAATGTGTGTTTAAACCGATGCCTCCCTGTCTTAAGTCCAAGATGATTAAAAGAAGCGGGCCGTGGCGGTGTTGGGGACAAGTGATCAAAAGAGCAGCTGTAAATACTTTCACTCCTTACAACCTTATCGCTAATCTTAGCTCCACTAAAACTTCTTCTGCTTAATAATAAATGCATTCGTTATCCGATAAGGTCTTCACAATAAAAGTTCCAAGTTTAAATGTCGATGACAGACTTTTATTGTGAAACAGTGATATCAGGAAATGGGGTACTTTCAGTGCTAACAACTTAACACAGACGCAGGAGAGAAACAAACCTTTAAACCTCACAGATTCAGTTAGAAGCTACATCCTCCTTAGAGGTGAAAACAGTAACTAAATGACTTTCTAAATGAAATTCTTTCCAGCAGAAACTTGTATGTTTGTGCTGACTCTCCAGATTTAAGTTCATATGCTTTTAAAACAACACATTGATTATCTTGCCTCTCAGTCGAGCTTAGGTGCAGCTAAATCAGACTTTAAGAACATAACTGAATGAAAGCTCTTGAGAGATGAAGAGGATGCCAGTATTTTCTTCAATAGCTGAAGGAAATTCCCTTTATAAAATAGTAAATTATTGAAATACTGTAAGCCTTGATTTGATATTATTCGTCATGACATTTTACTGCCGGTAAAAAACTGACATGTAAAAAAAATTATTGACGGCTAGATTTTTGAATCCACCAGTCACAGTTGCAGGTAGGCGAAAAATTTAATTTCCAACCCTGCTGTGAACGTATACTCCTTTCTACTGAGGATGTATGCTAACAATAGAGTCATCCTCAGACCAGGCTCTGACAGCTGAACTCTCAGAAAACATCTTACTATAGTTCACGACCGCATCTGGATCATGTAGCATAGCTTTACGCCTAGAGTGAAAGAATATAGTTTCATCTCAAAGTATAGATTAATATCATACAGTATAGTAAGAAATCACTATGTATGAAATAAAAGTCTATATAAATAAAGAGTCTAATAAAGAAGTTATTCAGCTTTTAAAAACTTTCTTTGATTAACTAACAGATGATCAATCTCAGTGAAGAAGAAACACTTCCTGGTTTTTGTGGAAGAACTGGAGAGTCAGTCATTTGACTCTGAAATGCTTCCCTCTAGTGCCCACTTGCTGCAAACACACACAGTGGGCATATCTCAAACTGCTCCTTCCACACTCACACTCTTCCCAGAGTGATCTCAATCTGATGTCACACAGCTGACTTCAGGTGAAGGGGATAACTATAGCAGCAAGCTTTGAGGCTACCTCCCCTTACTCCCGGAAAAAAGAACTTTATGTTACCATGGTTTCATGTAACTCAAATATAAGTTGTCCTCACACATAACTTTAGGAATACTCATTTAAATAACTTAACAATGTTTGAAAACAGATATTGTAAGACTATCATCTTCCGGTGGAGAGAGGTGATAACGGGCGAGATGTTTGTGTAGAGACGCTGGAGACCACTAGAGTCTGTCTTCTGCAGTGAGTCAGTCCCCATAGAGCCCAATGTTAAAATGTCCAACTTTACAGCTGCAGTTCCTCCAGTGTCCACTAGAGTCTGTCTCCTGCAGTGAGTCAGTCCTCATAGAGTCCCATGTTAAAATGTCCAACTTTACAGCTGCAGTTCCTCCAGTGTCCACTAGAGTCTGTCTCCTGCAGTGAGTCAGTCCCCATAGAGCCCCATGTTAAAATGTCTAACTGTACAGCTGTCGGGTTGAATGTTTATACAACATACTGTACATTATATTAAGACTGTCTGAGTGTGTGTAATTTTTTGTGTGTGTGTGCGTGTGTGTGTGTGTCTGTGTGTGTGTGTGTGTGTGTGTGTGCGTGTGTGTGTGTGTGTCTGTGTGTGTGTCTGTGTGTGTGTGTGTGTGTGTGTGTGTGTGTGTGTCTGTGTGTGTGTCTGTGTGTGTGTGTGTGTGTGTGTGTGTGTCTGTGTGTGTGTGTGTGTGTGTGTGTGTGTGTGTGTGTGCGTGTGTGTGTGTGTGTGTGTGCGTGTGTGTGTGTGTGTGTGTGTGGATGGGTGGGTGGGTGTGTGTGTGTGTGTGTGTGTGTATGTGTGTGTGTGTGTGTGTGTGTGTGTGTACCTCAGTGAGGCAGCTGGGCCCACATCCAGCAAGGGGGCTGGTCAGAGGCAGGACCAGCAGCTACCTCCCTGCTCTCCCCTCCTCCCACTCTTTCTGTCTCTCTCTGTGGAGGGATGGAGGTCTAAAAGCAGGGAGGCAGAGTCTCAGCCTGACACTCTGCCTAGTGGTGCCTTCACTGCCTCATGGTGCCTTCACTGAGTCTCGGACCCCCCCTCTTTGAACCAATGACGCTAAAACTGGACTCTGTTCTCCTGTGCTCCCCCAGCTCAGCCAGATGAACACACACAGGAGAGGACTTACAGCCAAGGTAAGAAAAACCAACCACACAGCTTTGAGAGCAGGCGGCTTGATCAGACCCAACGTCTCTGGAAACCTGCTGAGATTGTCTGGAGTTAGATGTCAGAGAAACAGAGTCAGAGTGATACCTAATGTGTGATGTAATGTGACTGTAAATGATCCAATTATACACAAAACATGTTCTGCACGTTTTATACTCAGTAACACAGACACATGCAACCACAACTTCACTGGTTCAGAGGCAGTGGTAGAGTTGGTCGTCTCTCAGCCCAAATGTCAGGTTTGATGCCCAGCTTCTGCTACTACATGTTGACACTTAACCTTAAGTTGCTCCTTCTGCTTGTGTGTATGAATGAATGAGTTAATACTGATGGACTCTTTACCCAGCAGCCTCTGCCATCAGTGTGTGAATGTGTATGAATGGATGAGTTAATACTGCTGGACTCTTTACCCAGCAGCCTCTACCATCAGTGTGTGAATGTGTATGAATGAATGAGTTAATACTGATGGACTCTTTACCCAGCAGCCTCTACCATCAGTGTGTGAATGTGTATGAATGGATGAGTTAATACTGCTGGACTCTTTACCCAGCAGCCTCTACCATCAGTGTGTGAATGTGTATGAATGGATGAGTTAATACTGATGGACTCTTTCCTCAGCAGCCTCTACCATCAGTGTGTGAATGTGTAGCTGTTTCTCAAGTGTTCTCTGTGTTGTTTCTTGATGCGTGTCTGTGTTGTTCCTTGATGTGTGTCTGTGTTGTTCCTCGATGTGTGTTTGTGTTGTTCCTTGATGTGTGTCTGTGTTGTTCCTTGATGTGTGTCTGTGTTGTTCCTCGATGTGTGTTTGTGTTGTTCCTTGATGTGTGTCTGTGTTGTTCCTTGATGTGTGTCTGTGTTGTTCCTCGATGTGTGTCTGTGTTGTTCCTTGATGTGTGTCTGTGTTGTTCCTCGTTGTGTGTCTGTGTTGTTCCTCGTTGTGTGTCTGTGTTGTTTCTTGCTGTGTGTCTGTGTTGTTCCTCGTTGTGTGTCTGTGTTGTTCCTCGTTGTGTGTCTGTGTTGTTCCTTGATGTGTGTTTGTGTTGTTTCTTGTTGTGTGTCTGTGTTGTTCCTCGATGTGTGTCTGTGTTGTTTCTTGTTGTGTGTCTGTGTTGTTCCTTGTTGTGTGTCTGTGTTGTTCCTCGTTGTGTGTTTGTGTTGTTCCTTGATGTGTGTCTGTGTTGTTTCTTGTTGTGTGTCTGTGTTGTTTCTTGTTGTGTGTCTGTGTTGTTCCTCGTTGTGTGTCTGTGTTGTTCCTCGATGTGTGTCTGTGTTGTTCCTCGTTGTGTGTCTGTGTTGTTCCTCGTTGTGTGTTTGTGTTGTTCCTCGTTGTGTGTTTGTGTTGTTCCTCGATGTGTGTTTGTGTTGTTCCTCGTTGTGTGTTTGTGTTGTTCCTAGTTGTGTGTCTGTGTTGTTCCTCGTTGTGTGTTTGTGTTGTTCCTAGTTGTGTGTCTGTGTTGTTCCTCGTTGTGTGTTTGTTTTGTTCCTCGTTTTGTGTTTGTTTTGTTCCTCGTTGTGTGTCTGTGTTCTGACTCTGTGTAGTCACTCTGTTTAACTCAGAGCTCCATCTGACTTTTATTTCTCTCTGTGGTTTTGGTTGATGCCAGAATTGCTCTGATGACGCTCGGTGACTCCCGGGGCCGGGAGAATGGGGGTCGATTCAGGGTTGGGGCCATGTCACTCAGAGCTGGAGCATTAGTGTTTCCTTCCGAGAGCAGCAGACAGACTGCTTATAGAAAAGATAAATAATTTCTCTTATAATAAGCCTCCTAATGTAAACTTTAAGATGATCACCAAAACTCTGACTCAGAGATGAAACTGGCTCTCTCATCTGATCATCACCACACACACACTTTCACATCATTGAATTAGTAAAAAGAATAATCTCAGCTCACAGTCCAGAGAAGCAGCAGACAAAGCTGCAGAGAGTCAGGACAGTCTGAAACGGTCCTGTAGGGAGTCAGGCTCAAGGGAGTCAGGGCCAGAGGTGTTAAGTAACTAAGTACAAATACTTTGTTACCTTACTTAAGTACAGATTTTGGGTATCTTTACTTTACTGGAGTAATTATTTTTCAGCCATCTTTTTACTTCTACTCCTTACATTTTCACGCAATTATCTGTACTTTCTACTCATTACATTTTAAAAATAGCCTTGTTACTCTTATTTCACTCTGGCTTGTCATCGTTCAAAAAAACACACACAAAAGCAATCCTATCCAGATAAATTGCGCCATCCGGATAGAGTGAATTTGATTGTGGTTGGATGAGAAGTATAAACATATACCATTCCGACACCCTATTGGTTTGTACGCGATCCATCGCACCTGCAAATGACACAAATCACGTCATACTCCAGCAAGGAAATAGCAGACGTATGTAGCCTAGTACAAAGATGTCCGTGGCAGAGCAACTAGTGATCATATCTTCAGCTCCATGAAACACATGTTAATGCTCAGTAGTACACATATATGGTTCTTTAATGTATTTGCATTGTACTAAAATGCGTTCATTTTCAATGGGCATAAATGTGGATGAAACAGGTGCATCCCAAATTTTTCAACATTAACATTTTAATATAACATTATAGTCATTATGGCCTTTAGAGAAATGTTTTTTTGGGGAGGTGGGGTAGTGCACTATAGGCCCCTGTGGCGCGGCCTAAGCTTTTGTGCTTAATGGCATTTTTTTCCCCTTACATTACCTTTACTTTTATACTTTAAGTAGTTTTGAAACCAGTACTTTTACACTTTTACTTGAGTAAAAAGCTTGAGCTTCAACTTCTACAGAAGTCTTTTTAAAACCTAGTATCTATACTTCTACCTGAGTAATGAATGTCAATACTTTTGACACCTCTGGTCAGGACTGTAGGGAGTAAGGAAAGTCTGAGACGGTCCTGTAGGGAGTCAGGACTGTAGGGAGTCAGGACAGTCTTAGACAGTCCTGTAGGGAGTCAGGACTGTAGGGAGTCAGGACAGTCTGAGAGGTTCCTGTAGGGAGTCAGGACTGTAGGGAGTCAGGACAGTCTGAGAGGTTCCTGTAGGGAGTCAGGACTGTAGGGAGTCAGGACAGTCTGAGAGGTTCCTGTAGGGAGTCAGGACTGCAGGGGAAGATCTTCTTAAAATGTTTCAAAGAATCAAACTGCTAGAGCTAAAATCATCAGAGGAAGAGAAAGACGAAAAGTCCTTGTTTCAAACATTTAAAAACATCTAAAGAAATGATCATTCAAAACAAGCAGACAGAATGAAAAGTATAACAGATTAACAATAAGTAAAACGTGAGTCACTTCAAGTGGTCACCTGAGTAACTGCAGTTTGTTACACGCCTGTATTAGCTTAATTCAGGATGCTGCTTTAAACATTTGCAGATTTTCAGATGACTCAGCAGTATGAGGGAGAGATTTTCTAAAACACATGTTCATTCAGAGTGAAGTCACACATGACTAACATCTCAATCATTTACTCTCATCTTTTATTAGCGACATGTTCAACACTCGGCTGTGACTCAGTCCAACTTCTAACTGTGACAGGATGTCCACTTAACCACAAGCGGGGGACATATAATCATCAACTTCTGGAGAATTCGTTTGATGGAATGAAATCTGCAGATGATTGTTGAAGAGATAAAATGGATTTATGTGAAATCTCAGAATCAGAGAGAGCCGGGGGCAGGTCGAGGAGAGAGAAAGTATTATGGAATGTTTTTCTTTAAAAATGAAGGATATTTGAGATGAGATGAGATAAGATACGATAAGATAAGATACATTTCAGAGAATCTGTTTGGGTGCAGAACCAAACCAGACAGTGACGGAGTTGCAGAGAGTTAGAGCAGACGTTTGTGTAAAAGGAGAAGAGCAGTGAGGAGAGGACAAATCCATGGGGAGCGCCAGGGCTGCATGTGATGCTCCCCAGCCTCCTGTCAATCAGGAGGTTAGTGATCCACTGACAGGAGGAGGCAGGTACTGAGAGCTGGTTCCATTTGTGCTGAAGGATATCTGGGATGATGGTGTCACACACACACACACACACACACACACACACACACACACACACACACACACACACACACACCACACAAACACACACACACACACACACACACACACACACACACACACACACACACACACACACAACACACACACACACACAAACACACACACACACACACACACACACACACACACACACACACACACATCCTCTAAGGCCGCAATCTCACAGAGATGCGTCGCTACAGGAGCGGGCGCTCATAAAACGCATCAAGCTGCGTGCCCAAGGCGGCGATTAAAGGTTATTTGGTAACAGAGGATTCAAGCAGACTCCGAGCTCTCGCTGTTGCTGTCCTATTGGATGAGGAGGGGGCAGAGATTTTGGGTTCATGACATACTGAGCAAAAGAAGACAGTGAAGACCATCTCTTTAGTGAGCTGTGTCTACACGCTACTCATTCTTCTTCGTGGGAGAGAAAGAGGTAAAGTAGTAAGGCCCACCTCTTGACTGATTTGATTGGCTCCCTGTGCCAGCTGTAACATTGATGAGCGGTGCGACTAAAATAATAATAATAATAATAATAATAATAAATAATAATAAATAATAATAAATAATAATAAATAATAATAAATAATAAATAAAATAATAATAATAATAAATAATAATAAATAATAAATAAAATAATATTTTATATATTGTGCCGAGGATCTCTGAGGGTCTGGTTCTGTGCTTAGGGTCTTTGACGGGTCTGGCAATGTGCCGAGGGTCTCTGAGGGTCTGGTTCTGTGCTTAGGGTCTCTGAGGGTCTGGTTCTGTGCTTAGGGCCTCTGAGGGTCTGGGTCTGTGCTTAGGGTCTCTGAGGGTCTGGTTCTGTGCTTAGGGCCTCTGAGGGTCTGGTTCTGTGCTTAGGGCCTCTGAGGGTCTGGCACAACTGGGGGACAACTGGGCCGAGTGTGAGTGAACCCTGAAACAGACTGACAGACA